GGGGGAGTGAGTTCACTGAGGTTCAAACCAGTCCAGTAAAACAACAACTGCATTTTTCAACTGATGGTTCAGGATTATAAGTCAGAGCGTGCCACTGAGGGCCACGCCCCTCAGATATTGACCACAAAGAAAGGAAAGAAAGGAAACAGTTTAATCTGTCAAAGTCTATCAGTGAGAGGGAGTGGTCTGCAAGTACTGTGTCGCAAACACACACACACACACATCCACACACACACACACACACAGACACAGCAGGTGAGCAGCTTTCAGAAACATGACCAGGCAGGTCTGCAGAGGTGATGGAGGCAGTGGAAAAGTACCGCTGCCCCCGGTGGCCGCCCTCTGAGACTGACACGTGTGTGTGTGTGTCAGTATTATTTGAATACAAATATAGTTTATGTGTTTTTGTTTTAGTTGAAGAACAGTAGCTGACAGGAAAATACATTTACAGATGTAAATGTATTTATGTATTACACACACACACACACACACACACACACACACACACACACACCACAACCAACGAGGTGTGACCAACACAGAGTGACGAGAACCAAAGCTTGGACGACAGATGATGCTGGGTGAGGGAGGGTGAGGAGGGTGAGGGGGGGTGAGGAGGGTGAGGGGGGGTGAGGAGGGTGAGGGGGGGTGAGGAGGGTGAGACTCAGTAGATGAGGGAGACAGAGACACCTGTCACTCCTCTCTTCTAATCAGATATTGACCAGCTCTCTGTCGCCATCTGCTGGTTCAGTTTCAGTCTTTGACCTGTGGTGACCCCCCCACACAGACTGCACAAACTCACAGTGTGTGTGTGTGTGTGTGTGTGTGTGTCACTCTGACAACGATCATAGATATCAAAAAAGAGACTGAATATTGAGTCCACGTTTACAAAATCAAAAGAATAAAAATGGTGTTTTATTTCTGACCTTTTCAGCTCTGACTCATGGGGGCGTCAGAGCACTATATGAACCAGGGCACAGGACTGCAGACACACCTGCAGAGGGCACTATAAACCTAAACAAATGATTGTTTTACATCAATTTGATCTTTGAACCAGAAGACCAGGTCATCAGTACCAGCATCAGTACCAGGTCATCAGTACCAGGTCATCGGTCATCAGTACCAAAACAAATGATTGTTTTACATCAATTTGATCTTTGAACCAGAAGACCAGGTCATCAGTACCAGGTCATCAGTACCAGCATCAGTACCAGACCAAATCCTGGATCAGTTATTCTGACCATCTCGTTTCTGTCACAACATCATCACCACGTCCACATTTTGGACAGACACAGGATCCGTCCTCGTCTAACGCAGCAGGGAGCGCGCTCTGTGCCGGTGTCCATCTGTCTCACGCAGTACTGCGTAATGTAATGCGCCCCCTGTGTCCTGGGGAAGGAAACGGAGACCAGAGGGTGGAATTACAGACGCACGAGCACAGGGAGGAACGGAGCGATGTGCAGACACAGCGGTGACATCATCAGGACACGGAACCAGCGCTAGCTTTAGCTTCAGCTGCCTTTAGCTTCAGCTGCCTTAAGCTGAGTGACAAAGTCGTGGCGTACGCTGACGACTACACTTTCTGTGTTTTCAGTTTTGTCTTCATTTTTTCTTCTCGGCCTAAAGCCTGTTCTCACTCTGACAAGAGAGAGTGTTTGGAGGGCAACCACTGTCGTCATGGCGACCACTGGAAGTCATTGGCATGGTGACAGAACTCCTTTGTGCCTGAGAGTACCTCAGGTCCCCTGATGTGATCTGTCGCCAGAAATAATTGATGCTTCTGTAATTGGACACTGTGTTTAGAGCAGTTTGACAAAATCAAACAGGACACTTAAGAAATGGCTGTCTCTCTCCCTCTCTCCCCCTCTCTCTCTGTGTGGGCGGGGGTGAGTCATTGTGTTGACTACGGTCTGAGTGTGTTGTGACTCCGTGCACTGCGGCAGAAAAAGTGAAAAAGAATTTGGAAAAAACAAATCATCACAGTTCAAAATGAACAACTGCCTCAAGTTAACGCTAACACGCTAACGCGCTAACACTTTAACCAAAACTACCTGAAGGAGGTCTGGATCCATTTTTGACAGAATTTGCAAAAACTGAGTTTAACTACAAGAACAACTACATTTTTATATAAAGTTCTATCTACTACTACGACTACTACGACTACTACGAATACTACTACTACGACTACTACTACTACTACTAATATGCCTTGTACACTGACATTAGTACATCAAGTACCCATGAAGTAACGTGTTGACTGAAGGCGTGGCGTCCGCGGTGCCAGGTGTCAGTCCTGGGCTCAGACTTGTCCCCTGGTAACGGGTTTGACGGCTGCCCTTTCCCTTTTCACACATCAACACCTCTGTTGTTTCTGTTCTTGTTATTAGAGTGAAATTAGGAAGTGAGTTGTGGAGTATATGTGGAAATATATTTACTGTGTACCTTTAGTATCACAACGTATCGTATCGTAGCCCCAGTATCGTAGCCCCAGTATCGTAGCCCAGTATCGTAGCCCAGTATCGTAGCCCAGTATCGTACGGTCAGATTGTTGCCAACACACACTCTCAGTGAAACTGAACTTTAAAGGAACAGTTTAAAGTCTGGAGTTCAAATATGGGACACACATGCACAGGTGTGTGTATGTACTGTATGTGTACTGTATGTGTACTGTATGTATACTTCTGTGTAGTATCTGTGCGTGACCTTTCAAGTGTATGTGTACATCTCCTGCCCCTCCCTCCTGCCCCTCCCCCCAGCAGGATGCCACAGCTCAGGGTCCAGGAGGCTGGGATTAGTTAGTCTGATGACCACATGGGATTAACCCGAGTGTCGTCCCTTTAACTACCATATGTTTGTCCACTGGGGTCCAGTCTCAACGCTTTCTTTGGTTGAAAGGGTTCAAAATTAAATGTTTAGAGACAAACTGAGGTGAAAAAAAAGGAAAATAAATCTGTCTTCTCTCTGTTTTTAATCTTTCACTCCACTTAATCTGTCTGTGCATCATCATCATCATCACCATCATCACCATCATCATCATCACCATCATCATCACCATCACTGTGTGTGTGTGTGTGTGTCCTCGGCCAAATCCAGTTATTTATAATCAATAGGTTTTAAAGCTGGTTGAACCACAGCGTCTCTCTGTGGTTGAAGGAAGTCACATGACAGCTGTGATGTCACACACTGACCTATGACATCACATATACATCTATTCATCCATACACTAATGTAGATTAGGAATATATACATACATACATTTAGAATAAAATTTAAAAAATGTAAAAAGTTTTGACGAATGTCAGTGAATGATGTTTATGAAAAACTGATTCTTTATTTTCCATCAATTCTTTCTTTCTCCACTTGTCAAACGGATTCTTTGTTCAACTCTTTGCGCTGGCGTTTCAGAAAAAAAAACACAGAATGGAACGCGGCCGCTCCACAAACACACACACGTCTCCAGGACAACGCCCTGAATTAGTCATGTGGTTGTCCTCTGGCCAACCCCGGGCCTGGAGGTGTGTGACCTGAGGCTGATGGTGTTACATCAGGGCATTAACCCCACACAGACTGCTCCCCCTTCAGGCCCTCTCACCTACTACAGTTTTTTTTTTTTTTTTTTTTTGCTGAGACACCAGAGACGTGTCCTTCAGTACGACTGTCCCCGAGGACATCGTCCTCATCACAGTGGAGATCTATTGATTGGACAGAGCAGAGGGTGACTGAAGGAGTGTCCAGGGTGACCTCAAATGACCTTTAGGGTCAGAGAGCAACAGAGGTGGCGGCTGCCAGAGGACACACACACACACACAGTCCTCAAACCTCTGGGACAGAGCGGTGGTGGTACAGCGCAGCCTATCAGCGTCACGCAGCAGGTGCAGGGGGGAGGGATACGCAGCGCTCTGCACCAAACTATGGGCTGGGCCTCTGCAGAAGACACACACACACACACACACACATCCTCAACTACCTCTCACCGACACACACACACACCTGGCTAGTGCACCATGAGGTCACGCCTACGTCCGTCCACAGTCAGCACCTCCTCACTAACAGGAGCTGCTCATCACCTGAGCTGCATTCAAAACAGCTTAGCCCCGCCTCCCTCCGCCCCCTCCCTCC